CAATTTTCGCTATAGAATTAACGGTTGCTGTACATCTGTGGTCATTGCATATAAGTTGAAGAAGATCTAGCTCACTATAACATGTTGTTTGATTAATCTTTTGTAGACATTGTAAGAGTTTAATCTTTTGAATTTTGTATCTAATGTATTCCATAGATTAACCCCTTTGTTAGAAAGAGTATGTATGACATAATTAGTTCTTTTACAACACTTGTGTAGTTTTGTTGCATTTCTTGTATTGTAGTTATGAATTTCATTGTTTGTTATACATCATGGCCGACAGTCAAAAACTTTGGATTTAAATTGAGATATTGTCTGGGCATTTTGACAATCCGACTCAAGGTTGTTATAGTCATACACAGCATGATAAGTGACTTTATGTTTACCCCAATTTGTCCTCTTGGGTAAATGAAGAAAGCAACTCTGTCGAGTATTATAATTATGAATACTGCTATTATATACTAAATTAAAGTCAAAGTTTATGTGATTATTTAAACATTTAAAAATTAAGATGCATCGATGGGCACGTCTTCTTTCACTCAGTTGTTTCCATTTTAAAGTTGACAGAGCCTCTGTTGACGAAAAGGATATTGGTTTGTTCAATATAATTTTTGCTGCTTTACTTTGTTGGACTTGTAAATCGTTCGTCAATGATATATTGTTTTTGTCACCCCATATCACATCCCCATAGTCAAATAAAGGGAGAACAAGGCAACTAAAGAGTGTCAGTCGGGAATCAGTTGGTAACAAATGTTTGATTCTCTTAAGCAAACCCAATCGCTGGTTTGTTTTCGAAATAATATTCTCGATATGGTCGCTCCACGACAAATCTTCATTGAAAGTCACCCCAAGATATTTCAACGAATTCACACGTCCGACTGCCTGATTATTCACTTTTATGGAGATGCTATTAAATGATTTAAGCCGTTGTTTACTTCCAAACAGAAGGAGTTTTGACTTCTCACAGTTAAGCGTAAGCAAATTGGATGAAAGCCATTCCGCAACTGATTGAAGATCTTCGTTTAGAAAAGTTTCAACTTCATTAGCCGTTTTCGCAGAAACATAAATCAAAGTATCGTCCGCGTAAAGTATGACTTTGCAATGTTTAATACAGTGCTGGAAATCATTCACATAGACCAGGAATAGCAACGGTCCCAATATGCTCCCTTGAGGAACACCGATTCTGATTGGTCGAGAATCGGAGAAAGAGTTGTTGACCGAGACAACTTGTTCACGATTACACAGATAGGACCTAAACCATTCAGCAGCACTTGTATCCAAACCAACAGACTTTAGTTTTGAAAGCAACACCTCGTGATTGACGGTGTCAAATGCCTTCTTAAGGTCTAAGAAGATTGCAGCGGTAACAAGACCATTGTCAAGTCTATCCAGAATATTTTCGGTAAGTTGGGTCAAAGCTACATCTGTAGAGAGACCTGGACGAAAACCAAATTGACTAGCCGATAATATATTGTTGGTCTGAAGATAGTTATATACTTGGGAATGGACAGCTTTTTCAAAAACTTTACTCAGCACCGATAAGATGGTGATTGGTCTATAGTTACTTTTATCCGACCTGCTTCCAGACTTGAATATTGGTACAACTTTGCCCTTTTTCCATACCGTTGGGAATTTCGATGAAGATAATGATTTGTTAAACAAGTAAGTTAGACATGGGACAGTCACATTAGCACTGTCTTTTAGAAGACGCGCACATATATGATCGAGACCAATTGCTTTTTTTGTTTTTAGCGATCTTAAGTGTTTGTGAACAGTATCTTCATCGATAGGCATAAAACTGAAACTTGAATTAGTTAATGGCGTGATACGAGTAATAAGGATATTAACTGTGATTTTAAACTGATTAGCCAATTTCAATCCAATAGTAGTGAAGTAATCATTGAAAATGTTTGCTATCGACGTAGGATTACTGTGTATAACTTCATCTGATTCGATACATGTTGGTATGATACCAGACTTACTGCTGCGACAAGTAAGTTCATTTAAAGTTTTCCACAAACCTGATGGATTTCCTTTGTTTTGATTAATAGAATCCTGGTAGAATGTAGCTTTAGCTTTTTTGACCTCTGCGTTTACTTGACATCTTAAATCACGATATTTCGACCAGTCTTCAGAGCATTTAGATTTGGCAGCTTTCTTGTGATAGAAGTCACGATCATGCATCATCGTTGTTATACGGCAAGTCAACCACGGGTTCTTTAAACCTTTAATTCTTTGAGTTTTTATAGGTGCATGTTGGTTAGCAACGTTGGAATAGAGAGTGCACCAAAGATTTACTGCATCATCAACCTCATCAGCATCATATACAGGTGCCCAATCGACATTTCTTAGATTTTGCAGGAAAGTATTTTTATCATAAAATTTATACGAGCGATATTCAATGACGCGTGACGGTGCCTTTGGAACACCAGCTTTAATAATGCAATAAATAAACGAGTGGTCACTCAAAGACATATTCACAACACCTTTGTCAGCAATACGATGCTTGTTGTTGACAAAAATAAGGTCGATTGTAGATTCCTTGTTAACCGTAACCCTCGTGGGATTCTTTACTAATTGAGTTAGATTATGCAAATTCATCAGCCGTTTTAGTTTAGTTCTTGAGGAACTCCTACTGTTAAAATCGACGTTAAAATCGCCCAAAACGACCAATTCAGCGTTTTCCGGAATCTTTGACAACGATGCATCAAATGATTCGACAAAGGTTGTGATAGGGAAATTCGGTGCTCTATAGGTAGAACAAATAATCAGTTTCTTTGTCTTCGGTCTTGTAATTTCAACCCAGCAACATTCAAGGTGGCTATCATCAGTAATGTCAAAACGTTGACAGTAGGGTAATCCATCACGAATGTACATAGCCGTACCGCCTCCAATTTGTTCCAAACGATCCTGTCGGAGAATAGTATAGCCGGGGACACTAAGTTCTTCGTCTGAAATCGACGGGTTTAACCACGTTTCCGATATAGTAAAAACGTCAATTGGTTGATCTTTTAGCAGCAGGCGTACTTCGTCCATCTTTGGGTACAGACTTCTTATGTTTAAATGACTGATCTTCAGACCACGACAACCGGATAGTTGTTGAGCTACGTTTATACCAGGCCCGGGATTAGTGGCTACATCGTTTGATATAGCAATTAATAATGTAGAGATGTACATTCCTCGAAGCAAATGGCAACCAGAGAGAAACTTTACGGCTGTCAGAACATCCTCAACACGAGAGACGCATGTACGAGGGAATAGCGGCTTTGAGTTACTAATAGCCATCTCAGAGGCATAAAAAAGCATCGGTTTCGTTGAATGATATAATGAGCTGTCTTTAGGCCAATACAAAGTTGACATAGATAGATAAACATATAAAATAATGCTCAAAGAGGGCAATGATAGCAGACCATGACCGACCGCCATGACGAAGATTGTTCCTTTTCGGCTGGAAATATTCTGCTAGCTTACCAGCCGCTGTTTCAAAATCGTCTCCATTGTCCTCAAGCGTGTCCAAAATATCCTACACTTTAAGCCCGCTGTATGTAGGAATAATGCTTTTTTCCTAGCATTATATTTGATGTCTATGGCTACCATATAATTCTTGAAACGGTTAATGTATTTCATGAATCTATTCCCGACTGTTGTTTGATCAACATCAGAATCAAACGGGGAAAGTTTATAGACATCTTGTTAGCCATGCCTTCATTCGTTAGTTTGCCGCTACAAAATAACTAACGTGTGTCCTTTGCTGGTTTGTTTTGTTGAGTATTCTCGTCGCCAATGTAGAGTATTGAATCTTTAATAAGTCTATGTATTTATTTAAACGTTTACAAACTGATACGCTAATAGCTTACTCTCATGCAATCTCGTACACAAAGTAATGCCTGTGCGCGGGCTAGGAAGGCACTGGCTCTGGGGAAATTGACAACCGCAAAATTGACCCCGGTTCTTTGTCGGCATGCACGATTGATAAACGGTAAACCAATCACAGCACAGGAAAAATTTAATTTCCCCAGAGGCAATGCCATCCTAGCCCGCGCACAGGCACTGCACTGGGTACGAGATTGACTCTCATGATGCTACAGCCAGACTGTTTTTAATATCTTTCTTTTTGGTATTTTTGTTATTCTTCGCAATGCATGACTTCGTGTTTATAATTATGCATATGCTTATATGAATCGAATTAATCTAATTACACCAATACACTACGACACTACAGTACCCTGTAAATTCATTCAGATTAGCGTGAAGATGTTGTATTGTAAACAACGAAACGTCAGCTAATATTTTTTTTTACTTTTATGATGTATGGTTTTAAAGTTATATGCTGGGCTCTGTTCTTTATCTTTAAGCACAAGCTTACTACTTAATGTCAATCACATGTTCCCATGTGACCATAATAATCCAATCAAAAAGCTTTGTTCGTGGGCGAACATGGTATCCTAAAATTATAAGGCATGCCAACATGCGTGTATTATTACTCGACCACCTGAATAAACGCCTGTTTGCAGGCTAGCCTGTGGTTTGAGGTTATTATACCTCCGCCAGGAGGTTATGTAATCATCTGGGTTTGTATGTATGTGTGTATGTGTGCATGTGTGTGTGTATGTGTGTATATGTGTATGTGTGTTTGTCTGTGAGCACGATAACTCAAGAAATACCAAATATATTCATACGAAATTTTTGGATTGCACTGATTTCCCATCGGCCAAGGAAGAATTGATTAAAATTTGGCTGAATTTGGTTGAAAATTGAACGAAAAATGAACAAAATGTTGTCTTGCTTTTCCCGGTCAATTAAAAAAACTTATTACATCAAGTGTGCAGGGGAAAATTAGAAGACAAGGAAATCTTTGGTTTTCAACTCAATTTTCCTTGTAAATTTAGAAGGGAGATTTAGAAGACAAAAACGTAAGGAAATGAGGGAAATACGTAGCATAGGAAATGAGGAAAATACGTGATTAAACGCCCCTTTGGGTTGTAGGTCCCTGGGAATTAAAACGAATTCCTAATAGATCAATTTGTTGTTGTTGTACTGTACTTGTAAAATAAAAACGTATTAAGTGTCATTTAAGAAATGCATAAATTTTGTTTTATACTCGCGTTTGTACACCCTGTAGGCTGTATGGGCGGAGGTATGCAGTCTCTGAGTGCCCTCTAGTGCACCAGGTTTTCTATCAGCATAGACACGCTTCCAATAGAATTGCAACATAAATCAGCTGCATCCCTTAAATTCAACACACAACTACAGAAGGACGTTTCTTTAATATAACCAATGCTATTACTTTCTACTGTAATTTTGGTTAATAAAGGAATACAGTGAGGAATGCAAAGTAGGGGCAAAGTTGACCAAAGGCTTGTTCACCAAATGGTTCCCCAAATTATGAAGCATAGTCATAACTTTTTTAGTAACTCGTAAGAACACTGCTCGGGTTTATCCCCTAGTAGCTATAGTATATATAGTATAACAAGAAATTTGCAACCTTTCTAAAGATTTCCACTATGGCCAGTTCATGGTAAAATTTATATGCAAATGACAACTCGCATTATAGATTTCGGGCCGCTAAGCATGACGGTAGGAGGCTGTAGGCTGCTTCCAAACGAAATGGCCGCCGTAGGAGCGGACGATTTTGTTTGGAGGAATATATGGCGGATTTTAAACTATTTATTGCATCGATCGATACGTTTTTTGTCATGGAACATAACAAGGGCGCTTTTCGCTATATTCTGGGGAAATTTGTGGAATTTCTGTCCATTAGCGGCCGAGAAAATGCGTTGAGAGTGGCACGTCTTGTAAACATGCCTTGCAGAAATTTGCTTGCGAAAATCTGACCTTCCCAACTAAAGCAGGTGAGTTGGCGTTTCAATATGCGATCGGCTAAATATTATTTCAAAATAAGATGTTCTGATAGTTGTTTGTATTCGATCTCATAGTTGTTTTACATGTTCGCGTGTCGAAATGGCATTTTAAGCTTCGTGAAATTTACAAGTTTTGTCACGATTATGTTCGAATTTGACATTGGACGTGCCCTCACTTCACCTAATGTTTTACCTTTGTTTTGGCGCGAAAATACCCTGAATTTAAATAAGCAGCATTCAACTGTAGCAAGAAAATTTAAAAATAAAAGATTTTTCTGGGTTTACTGCTGTTGTTTGTCCTCTAGCTGAAGTGCAATTTGGTTCGTGTCCTCCATTCTTAAATTTTTTAAATTACTCGTGAGTTCTAGAATAATTTTAGGTAAATAAATTTAGGTATATTCAAATATTAAACTTTTTAGGCCTTCTTAAAGTCGTTTTAGATTTTGTATATAAATTTTTGGATAGGATATAAAAATATTTAGGTAAATTATAAATAATAAAATTAATATTTAGGGTATATATTAAAATTTGTTAATATTGTAAATACTGTAAATACATTATTAAATTTATTAAATATGGAGGTTGAACCTATAAACACTTCACTTGAGGTGAATAACACTAAAATACCAACATTAAAAAGGTGGACAAGGGATTTAAATGGCCTCCCAGCATTTAATTATGAGTTATTAAGCAAGCATTTGGGATCTGAACAATCTGGTGGTGCTCACAAGCACAAAAAGTTAGGATATCAAATGTTCAAGGATAAATATGTTGGTCAAGTTGAAGGTAAAGCAAATGTCATCAAAGATAATATCTCGTGTTTCTTGATTAAAGCTGGTGTAAATGCTGCCATGAAAAACATAACATATACATGTTCATTTAAATGAAGCTAATGGGGAGGTTGTATATAGCAACTGCACATGTAAAGCTGGCAAAGGTGGACAATGTAAACATATTGTTGCATTGCTGTTTCAAGTAATCGAATATAAACAATTAGACATGACTGAAATCCCCGATCACCTTACTTGCACACAGTTATTACACAGGGGCGGATCCAGACCGATGCCAACGATGCGAATGCATCGGTCAAAATTGAGAAATTATGTTGCTTGAAATAATATGTCGTCAATACTTAGTCAAGCACTCAGTAATAGAATATCTTTGAATCTCTCCAGCTATCAAACCGCAAATATTTCCTTAAACTTGACTCCATGTGACTGTCCATGTCGGGAATACACTATTTAGGATGAAATCCAATTTAAATTGTATCAATAACAGTCGAAATTGTCAAAATAAGTCCAATATGCGACGTGCGATCGCAAAAGTATTTTCTGTTATTTACTTTTTATTTTGCGACACTTAAGCGTGAATAATTTCGCGACAAAATATATTATTTTTTACCGCATCCTTTGACGTCACAGTAGAAAGCTGATGCATCACCTACGTCACGGTAGATTTTGTTTGCATCGATTTTCAGCCATTTTGCATCAGTGAATGCATCGGTCCAGAGTCCTTTTCCACGTAAAATCTACTGTGACATCATCAAATCTATTGTTTTAGAGCCCTACGTCACGGTAGATTAGTCCGCTGAGCGATGCATCGCATGCAGATTGCGGGCGCTCGCATCAGTTCACTGATGCAAATTTCAAAATCAAAATCTACTGTGACGTAACGAGGCATTCGATTCAAGTCATGGCGGCAAGGATATGCAAACACTATATGCAAATGAACAAATAATGCGAAGAAATATCCCTCGAATATGATGGAGAGCAACTAAGTTACAGTCGAATTAATTACCAAGGTTTGGAATGAATTTGATCTTTCAACTGAGCAGTGAGCACAAGAATTGAAGTATATTTATACTGTGAGAATGTGAGATGCCCACTACGGCCACTAGGGCTCGAAAGTAAGTGGAATTTATGTATATTTTACATTGTAGTACATTGTTAATTGTTCAGTTCAATGTAGATTTGTATGTATTAACATAATAATTAAAGTTTGTGTCTATTTGATACTGCTGTTCATACCAGGAGGGGAGGTTGTGGGGGGATGAGGTAGTTTGACATTTTAGACATTTTACAGTCTTTACAGAGATTTGTTTGTCTGGAGGCAAACCAGCCCCATTACCAAACTTGACAGTTTGCTTTACTGAGGCAAATTTCATCTCTGTTTACATGGGATTTATATAACCTGTGCCCATGCAGACCTTCATTTTTCTCACAGCTGGCGGGCGAAGAAAAATGAAGACCTGATAAAGTCACATGTTATTAAATTTTTGTGTCCTACAACTGCTTTTATGGTTGTAACTCTGATTGCCGGCTACTTCTAGCATTGCCATATTTAATGTATTTTTTTGATATTTTGGTTAGTGCTATATATAATTAAATAATGATAGATTAAATAGTGATTGTAACTATATTTAGTTTGTTGTTAAATTATGTGAAATAATTTGACATTTCGCCTGGCACATTTTGATTGGATACCGGTACTAAAAATAAAACTTTGGTGTGGGTCAAGACTTGCATCAGGCACTGTACAGTATGTAATTACAATGCATAATAATATTGCAGGTTAATTAACCCATTGAGTCGCATTGCACCCTGATGCACCCTACTTTAGTATTTTATTCTGTCTAACGCCAGACGATTTTACTTGTCAAGGGGAGAGCGCTGGCGCTTAATGGGTTAATGAGCTGGATTTCTAATAGTGACGCAATATTGGTTAGAAAACATTACATTTCATTTTATATGGAAATGAGCTGGCGTGCCTCATGACAAGAGTATAATTGCTTTGCATTGCCTGAGTTATTGGGCAATTACTGTACACTGGATATTTTGCCAACAAAGATCATTACCTGGGCGTGCTCGCCTACCATAGTTTGGTACATATGCTTTGTCGGTGCAAATATAATTTGATATAAGCTGTATATGTCATTCTGTTGACAAATTTTAATCTTAGAATGATACAATGATGGACGTTATAAATACTGTATATAACTGCATGTAACTGGTGTATATAGGTTATAATTATGAAATTTACTCACAAAAGTGGTATAGATTTAATTAAATTATATATATTTGTAGTGCTTAATTCTCCCAATACTATGTTTTGGATAGCAAGCATGGCTCTCTGAGGATTACCATTGATAAGTGTACGGATATATTTGACGAAGATGTGCATTTATATAGTAACACAGGGAAAATATTGATCAATACTACTGCGCAGCCTTTCTACATTGACATCATCTTAAAAGAGTACTATATTAATATATATTAGTTGAAAGGCAGGCAAAAGGGGACTGGTAGAAGACATCTGATGATTCAATTATGTCATCATATATTGTTTATCATTGTACAGTTTGGTAGGTTCATTTGACAAACAATTTTCAACTAAGATAGTTCATTAAATCAATTTACACACAGTATCACTATATATATATATATATCTATTGATTTAAAGTTTGGGGTCATGTGTACCTATAGTTATACTTATAGAATTTTAAAACTCAGTGCTTGTCGTGTGTTAGTTTTACTGGTTTCCTGGTGACAGGGCAATATTCTCAGTAATTTAGAGTGTGGGCTAGTCACCATGCAAATATGCAATTCACATCAAAGGCATCTTAATTGCTAGGGGTGAATAAAGTTGACGTACTGATGCCAACAACCACTGTCCATACAGAGTAAGGTTAGCAGCATAAGGCAGAGTTGTATATAAATAAGTTTACCAACTAGAGCACAAAATACCTTTATGCACCATTCTAATGCTAAAAAAAATTACTCATGGAACATTGCAAATTAGTGGAAATGAATAAGCCTCAGGGAAGGTGGTTAAGAAACCTAATAACACTGTCTTTTGAGTCCAACATTGCAACTAGTGGATCACACTGTATACACCTTTGTTACACGTATGTGTGTATTTGCGTTGTCGTGATTTTTCGCCGAAATGTTTTTCAATAGAAAAGTTAAGGCTACAAGAAGCACAGTAGTAAGTACTGACTATTTTTTAATAGAGACTTATGCACCGCTGCTGCTATTACACTTGTACAAGCAAATATTTTTTCTTATATGGAAAAATTATGTTGTTTTTGAGATATATAGGTTCAAGTTTTTTACGTGCTTTCCAAAAATGCAACAAATAAATTTGTGACTCTGATGTATGAATTGGAACAAAAGAGTTTGCTCAGAACGCAGGAAATCGCATTTCCGAGGTTCTAGATTTCAAAATTTCCCGGGGGAGGATACCCCCGGACCCCCCGACAAATGCGAGTTCTTATGTATGCATCAGTCAGTTCAGGAGCTGGATCCGCCCCTGGCTACATGTAAAATTAGACTTATATCATTTGAAAATTTCGAGCAAACCCACTTTATAATATCATGTTTATACACAATTGGGACACTGCTGTCACACCATATATGAAGGACGTATAGTGTTTGAGTATACTGTACAGTATATCTTCTAGTATAAAGCCATAAAATGTTAAACATTTAGCACCTTAGAGATGACCTTATTATTTTGAAGTCTTGCTCAACATGCCTAATAATTTGCGACAAATGGTAAACATTTAGATTGAAACAAATATTAAGTTGAAAGTGGAATCTTAACATTTACCTTATCATCCGCTGTGGACGCGGACGCCAGCCAGACTATGGCAATAGCTCTTAAGTTACTGTTGAGTTGAGCGTTTTGATTAATAGATAGATAGATAGATAGTTTATTCCAATAAAAAAACACCTAGCAGCTAAAGGCTGAATTACGTGCTAAGAATTTTACAATATACTACATCTACTATTTACCAAATAATGTTCAATATAACTAACTTCTATAACGTTCGATAGCATGACTAATTATAAAAGAGTTCTTAAATCTATTAGTTCTAAATTTTGGAATTTGATAGTCTCTCATCCTACGCAAATTTATGTTGTCGGAAGCCTTCAACGGAAGACGTGAAGCCAGCTTATGATCTGTATGGCTGGCTATCATCTCAAATAAGTCCTTAGAGAGTTTATCACGTCTAGCGAAAGGTGTTACTAAATCAGCTGCCTCAAGTGCCTCTGCGTAATTCAGGTCAGTGTAAATCGTTCTCATTGCGCGCCGCTGTATTGCCTCAATCTGGGTAAATACAGCCGTTCCGCACGTTGTAACCAATAATTTATTGGCGTTGTAATGCCATTGTATGCAATAAAGTATTGGTTACAATGGATTTACAATTAATCCAAACGCTAATCCTAACTCAAACCCTAACCCTAACCCTAATCCTAACCCCTAACCCTAACCCCACCTTCTAACCCCTAACCCCTAACCCCACCTGCTAACCGCGCAACCTAACCGCAAACCCTAACCCCGGCCAGCTACCCCTCCGGGGAATTTTTTTTAAAAAAAAAATCATATTACTAGAATACATTGGTATCGAAGGAACTAGATTCTGTTCCGAAATATCACTTATTCAAACCGTCCTGACCGCGTTAGCTCAGTTGGAAGAGCATTGGGCTAGTATTCCAAAGGTCGTAGGTTCGAATCCCACCGTGGCCGGGCATATTTTTCAAGCTCGCCCGGTGTGGATATAGACTCAGAGTAACACCACAAATAAGATATTCAAACGTTTGTTCTGATGCACTTAGTAGCTGTGTACGGTGGACTGTGGATGTAAGTATTTTTCTATCATTGAATGATTGATTCTACTATATATATTACTGTAAGTCAAAATGTTGCGGTATTTACTAAAGGGGCAAATCATTTTTAATACAATGTAATTAGTAATTATTGCAAAATTGCAAAATTACAACATTATATCAAGAGATAAATTTCCTCTACCCAACTTTAGTACAGATATCAATACATTATTTCTTGCTTCATTGTTATAATTTTATTATTTTAATGCTTCTTGGTATTAATATTAATGAGGTTATTTTTGTGCTGCATTTTAGGGACTGTAATCACATGTCAAGGCCTACCAAGTTTGAGAGCTTATTTTGGGCCGAATATGTTTACCACTTGGAGCAATAGGACAAGAATACAATTACAGATAATCTTATTTTACCATTGAATCATGTAATCCCCGAGCCGACGGCGCGAAGCGCCGTGCGAGGGTACTAATTCCGCCCGGGGAAATTTACATTTATTTACACCCGGGGAAACGAAAGCATTAGCGGAGTCTAAAGTTCATCAAATATCGCGGGCGTGGGTCACCAACAGTGTTGGGTGGGTGGTCATCCTCACTGACCTCAAAAATATGGCGGACTGCATGAATAGCGGACACTGATTGGTCCAATTTAAAGTTTGCATTATAACGACTGCATGACGACAGCGAAATAGCAAAGTAAGCAAACATTTCTTGATTTGATGATTGACTGTAAATTTCTTGCAAATATATTTCTTTTTTGCTCGCATTTTTGCAAGATTTTGTAAATTTCGAAAGCTCTCTGAGAAAGGAACTGCGAAAGAATCGGCTAAAAGAAGGGAGCCGACGTTAACGAAGGTAAGTTTGTTTTAAATATTGATTTTATAATGGTTTAAAACCCGACGGCCTTTGCGTATATGAAACAACAAAACAAGACAGCATATAATTTCAGTGTATCTTTAATATTGATTCCCTTTTTTATGATATTGAATTTTTTAAATAAATAAGAAAGCGAACTTATTTGCAAGCGAGAATTTTAAATCATTTTATTGCAAACTCAAAGTTTATCGATAAAGCTATTTTAAAAGGCAGTTTTGTATTATATTAAAGAACACTAATGACTTGAAAACGCTTTGTGAAGCGTTTGTGGTTGAATTTTACCTTAAATCGAGGCTTATGTTACGTATAATAACATACCTAACGTATATATGTTTGGAAATTAATAATTTTGTGATTAAAAGTGATATTTATAAGCGATTTTTCATTTGTAAGAATATTCTTAAAAAATTATCGTGTTACCATGACAACTTAGATACTTCATGTTCGGAAAATACAATGGTTTTGTCAGCAAGGCGAGGGTTTCTGCATGCATGCATGCATTTTCTAGTTTGGTATTGACAATTGATTGTACACAAAAAACTGTGGTATTAAAATGTTGGTCTGCATGCCCCTTTGGTAAGCACAATGAGTGGCCATCACTGCCGTGTGCATCTTTAAACATCCTTGTTAGCAGCAAGTGGGTTCAGCAAAGAAAATGATGGAAAATTTAGCTATACAAATTGAGAACTGGATTGGGATGTCCTGTTAACACTCAGGTCCATCTTTTAAACCAACCATCAAACTGCGGGAAAACCAAATGGTGATGCAAGACATAACAGCATTTGGACGGAATGGTAGAAAATCAAAATTTAAAAGGATTCTTATTATATACAAGTAAATCTTGAAAAATAAATGACTTCACATGGCAGTTGATCATGAGGGATGCCCAGCACAATTTTAATTGTCTAAAATATCGAGTATAGTGTATATCTTAACAGTTGGTAGTTCATATATGATAACTTATACTCTATAGACGTTTTCCCGAAATGTGATATTTTTCATCTTTGAAAAAAGATAATTCTTTACCAATTGACCAAACTGGCTGAAATTTTCAGTGTTAATAGAGCTCCTCCCCCGACAACATTTTCATATACAAGGGACATACCAGATATGCAAACTTAGCAAGGCTATATTTTCCGTATTTTACAACATTTCATAACCAAATTTTGCAATTTTAGTAATTTAATAAGCCCTTTACGCGAATTCACTTTTGTTTGCCTAAATTAATAACTAGTCTAACATGCAAGTTATCTATTGTTGATGCATTCCAATCAAAATTAAGTAGTGCAAAGAGATTATCTTAATTTATAAAATTTATTAAATGCTGATCAAAATTATGAACAGAACTCATCAGCGATATTCTTGCTGTGAAAATATTTCAAACTCTGCGACAACATATTTGGCACATGTTGACAGCAAGTCTGCGAGGGAGGTAAAGTCAAATTCGTCCTCTACGAAACGGTCAAAATCTTCTAGAGTGCAAAGACTTTTTGCAACTCGATCCAAAAGGGCGAAAATCGAAGCAAGAATACTCGATCATTTTGGAGTATGGTTCTTCACAAAATCCAAGGAACCGGATTATGTTCGTGCGGCCTTTTGTACTGTTCAACAGTGCGGCTTCTTTCACGAAACAGAATTTCGAGTCAATGAGTTAATGAACTGGACATTATTCTTTTTGGTAACCACTTTTTTGGTTTTCCTTTGTATTTAATTGCCTGGGTATACAAACCCAAAAGTACCGCCACCCAACTTCTTTTCTTTTTCGAAAAGTTTTGATTCAAACTTTGGCAATTCTGGTTCCCTTTTGCCTTTGTTTTCAGACTTGTTGTGATTTTATAGCTCGCTGTTATTTTTGTCCCATTTTATTCGAATTTTGGAGCGAAATTGTGGTCCTAGTCAGCGTTTTACTAATAGAGTCCAGTCCGCATTTTACTAATAGATTCCAGTCCGCGTTTTACTAATAGAGTGCAGTCCTTGTTTTACTAATGAAGTCTAGTCCGCGTTTTACTAATAGAGCACAGTCCGCGTTTTACTAATGGGGTTAGGCATGGCCCGATTGTGCTCGGCAACTTTTGAGAAACTTTTTTACGTTTGGAGCAACTTTTTTCAATTCGAGCAACTTGAAGCAACTTTTTCGTTTTTGAGCAATTTCTGAGCAACTTTTAGGCTTTTTATTAAAATTAAAACTTTACAGCTTGAAATATTGAAATGTTTACAACTTCATTTTCTGCGATATATTTCTTTTTTGGATTTTACGAGCACAATCGGACCATGCCTAAATGGGGTCCAGTCCGCGTTTTACTAATAGAGTCCAGTCCGCGTTTCACTAATAGAGTCCAGTCCGCGTTTTACTAATAAAGTCCAGTCCGCGTTTTACTAATCTGAGTCCAGTCCGCGTTTTATCAGTTCAGTCCAGCCCGCGTTTTACTAATAGAGTCCAGTCCGCGTTTTACTAATGGAGTCCAGTCCGCGTTTTACTAATATAGATCGAGTCCAGTCCGCGTTTTACTAATAGAGTCCAGTCCGTGTTTTACTAATAGAGTCCAGTCCGAGTTTTACTAATAAAGTCCAGTCTGCGTTTTACTAATCTGAGTCCAGTCCGCGTTTTATCAGTCCAGTCTAGTCCGCTTTTTACCATATGCCAACAATATCGCACAATGGACCGTAAATTCCAGAAGACCTCGATATTAAAAATCGCCCGACGTAAGCACTTCTATAAGGTCTAGATCTATTGAGTATTGAAAAGCGAAAGTTTCGCACAAAGTCATTTCAATCCATTTTTCAAACTTACGTAGCATCAGGGTCTACAGCCAAACTTGAAATAGTTTCGTTGTTAATTAAAATGATATTTTGAAACTCAAAATCCCTTCTGCTAACGTTAATCACTTTCTTCTTATGCGATCTCACCCAAAACAAACGTTTACCAACCCAGTCCAAAGCAAATGCCCAAATATTTTTAGCCTTTTTGGAAACATTTCTCCGATTAGAACCGTCAAAGTAAGATTGAAAAATTATTTCGCGATCTTCAAAATACATTTCCTTTCGCAAAGGGTCAATATCCAAGTGTTTGACGTTGGTATTGTCAAGTCCATCAATGATGGATATTGAATAGACAGATGTCAAGTCAACGACGGAGATCTTCGTTTTAGTTCTGACAAGTAAATACGGTTCGGGATAAGGACCTGTGAAAACAAATAACAAAATTGGTATTAGGCTTATCAGCATTTAAATGCACTGTACATATATATTTTCCATATATTTTATTAAAGTTATATATATATGCAATTGAAAACTCGTGAGATGAATTTTTCAATCGAAATTAAACGTATGAGTATATTTGTGAATATATTTTATTAGTTTGCATTGCTTCTAATATGGCATAATACTTGCATGATTAGAAACTATAAAAGATTTTTACCCTCATAAAAACACATTTGTCTATGGGCTAATCTCCTAGCTTCAATATATGCTTTTTCAGTTTGACAACATGATGAATTAATTTCGCGATCTCCGTCTAAACATCGTTCACGCCAGCCTACCAAATCATTCCCCAGTGTTTTCCATAGCTTATGACAAATTGGAATATCTTTGTTGCCAACAACAAGACATCCCGCAAAAATCAGCAACACTAGTAATGCAAAACAACGTTTTGCAGACGGAAAGACCAAGGCTTTCGTGTTGTTGTTGCTGCTTGTCTGAAACAGTAACTTCATCTGAAAGATAAATTAACAGAACGGTATTAATTATTTAACATTGTAATACTTCTATTTAATTAAAGAAACTTGTCCGGTCCCCATACGCCCTGGCAAACATCTTTGAATGTAGGCCTGTGGCCGAGAAGAATCCAATGGGTTGCCGTCCGATCTATGACTCGACCTCTAGTGATAAATTGGCAATTTTCTATAAGTACTGCATGTTACGAAACTTACCTCCACAACACAGTAAAGTAAATTTTGTTCCCTGAAAGGTTTTTGCTCCGTGTCTTATAAATAAAGCATAATGCCAAACTATATCACAGGCAGCCGTCAGAAAAATTGACGAACATATTAACTTTGAAGTGACTAGGACAGCTGGCAATCGGCTGTTTATAGTATATAAACTGCCGGCTATATAGTGACTATATAGTTAAAGTGAATTTTTATAAGATAAACCGATCTCAAAACCTTCTCTATACCCTAACACCTAACCCTAATCTTTCGAGAGTTAGAAAAGGCAGAAATTTTAAGAAAAGGCAGAAATTAAAAAAAAATTAAAAAAGCTAAGTACTAAGTCCGGCAAAAACCGACCTGGTTAGAGCTCGAAAACAGGCCTCTGTAGCTCAGTTGGTTAAGGCGCTGCATGCTCTAAAATGCAACTTTAGTTCTCTGGTAGGAATGAAAAATGCGGCCCTGCGAATCCGGATTCGAATCCGGATTCGCAGGGCCGCAGGTTTGTTTCATACCAGGGATCTAAAGTTGCATTTTGCCCAGCTGTTCCCGGTTAGGTCTAATAAATGTACATAAATTTCCACTCGGCGATAATTTCCATTTACAATATCATCCAACTATTATTCAAACGAGTGAGATGGCAATAAGATCTTGATATTTGCAAGCAAAGTTTTTGCTAGTTTGAAGCAAAGTTTTTGCTACGGATCTTTTATGGCTTACTGGGTGATGAGAGTCGTATGACAAGTATTTGTCTCTGTGTGTGGGTTTATCAGGTTTATACTGTCATAGGCAATGACGACATACAGTTTTTCCTCCATGTATTTCCTAACTAGGACCGTCGCTAAAATCGGCTGAAGAACATCTTATTCAACAGATATATAGCATCCATCATGTTTCGCTCGCTACTCTGGTTTAAATAAATGATTACAAAGCCCAGTCGAATTGTAATCAAGACCCCCAACGTTTCGACACTCCAGACTAGTGTCTTCATCAGGGGTGATCTAAAACTGCGATCGTGGCTTCTTAAATTCTTAAATTCCCAAGGGATGATGTCACCTGCCAAGAAGATGCATATATTCCTCTGGCAAATAGGCGCCGTCATTCCTATTTAAAGCATGATGACTCATATTTATATGCCACGCTTCTAGGCAAAGTCTTTGACCATAGCGACTGTTTGTGGTAATTACTTTAGAGTTTTCCCACGCAATCTCGTGTTTGGTGTAACATACATGTTCAGCTAAAGCTGATTTTCCCTTGTCTAAAGTTGAAACAGCCTTTTGATGTTCTTTTAGCCGTGTACCAAACTGGCGTTTAGACTGACCCAAATACTCTTTGTCGCAGTCACCGCATGGTATAGAATATATAGCATGAGTCTTCTGATTTTTTTTCAACTGGTCCATATTTTCGCAAAGCCAAAAGATCCTGTTGAAAAAAATTAGAAGACTCATGCTATATATTCTATATATAGACACTAGACTGGAGTGTCGAAACGTTGGGTCTTGATTACAATTCGACTGGGCTTTGTATAGTCATTATTTAAACCAGAGTAGCGAGCGAAACATGACTGATATATACCTGGTTGCAGTGAACGAACAAACCTTATAGATATATAGCAGTTTGGCACAATCTCATGTCAAGGTTGGATGACCTTTTTATTTTGGAGCATCCGTCACACCCTGTATTTTTCTTTCTAACTGTTTGAACTTCTAAATGCTAATTAAATTTTATTTTGAGTTTTTTGTTCTTTTGAAAAGCATATTTCTTCGCGGCTGCATTCAAGGCAATGGAGTCAACTAAATCTTTCTCACCGGCAAAAGATATAAGATCATCAAGTCGAGTTTCAAAAATCGCGAATCTGAGGAAGTTCTTAACATTTTTCCTTCTGCTGAATGTCCGTTCATCTTTGGCAACAGTTACAGGAGCTGTAAAGAGTTGTTTAAACGTCTTGTATAGCTACGTCGTTCGTATAAAATGGAATGCTATTGGTGTAGATATTTAAAAAATAGCGTTATAGGGCAATTTATACTCAAGAAAAACATTTATTGTATAGTCTGAAGTTTCACTCAAATTCTAATACGATGGTTGCATGCAGATTTGAATATACTAGCTAATTTTGCGAGTATCTTTTGACTTTGAAAATAATTAAGATATTAGCAGGATGCCCTTTACATACATTGTCAAAACTTGACATATAGTATATATTATTAGATGGCAATTTTTGTTCAACTTTTATTGAATCCCAGCACTGTTTAAATTATAAAGCAAGATAATTATCTGATACATAGCTAAATCATTGCACATTTTTGTTAACTATACAAACTGTATTTTGTTCTTACTGAGGATCCTGGGGGGATCGGGAGGGTTTAAATCCCGCTTTCAAAAATAAATTTTCTCTAATCCCTTTTCTTAAATCAAACCCAGTCCTACTGTGAAATTGAGAGAAAATGCGACAGAGGTGATTAATCATCATCTATGTGATGACTTTTAAGCAAAATTATGCATTCAATTGCCCTCTTTAGAATTAGAGAAAAAGGTATAATTGACTTACAATAGCAGAAATTACCTCATTGAGCCATAAGTCGGTTAAATCGAGTTTTCCTGGACTTTTTTATAAAAATTCTCTTTTATACATATTCTCATTACTCTGTAGCAGTTATTTCACTCTGAAATGTCCAACTACAACTGTTTTTACAATGGTATTTGGGTTTTCCCATTCACGTTTTTGTATCGTAATATATCGTGTAGCATTTTCTTTCGTGTCGAACGGTCATTCGGCTCTCGGGAATTTTACTAAATGACCCTCATCGAGCGGCGCCCAAGGGAATTTTACTAAACTACCCTCGTCGGGCGGGACGTTTTAGTAGCCAAATCGCCTCTTTTTATGCTATTACTTATAAACACCATTAAACTACGGGGTGTATCAAAATAAACGCAATTCATATTTTGTGCTTAATAACTTTCGAAATACTATTTCTAGTTTAACGCTTTTAGGCTTACTTCAAAGCCTGTTCTTTTCTCTTTCAAACAAACTATTATCATTGTATCCAATGCTAGTAATAATTGCACAGGAAAATATTTAGTAAAACCTACCATTTTTAGTTGCTGTTTAATTATGCAAGTTTACTATGTTATTGTTTAGTCGGTTTAAATGTTAGAATTTTCTTCTTTAAACTTTAATGTTGTCGTCACTACATCTGGAAAACCACGTAAGAACAAATTAAAAGTATTTTAAAAGAGACCAGGTTGTTTGAAAATCTAAACGAATGCTAAAAATCGTCAAAACATTCTGGTGTCTGAGCCAGAGTGTCATCGAATTGCGATGTAATGTAATGTAAACAGAAATTATAGCAAGTTGATGTCAGTCAGCTTAGATGGTCCAAGCCAAAATTATATCGCATTTGAAGTTTCAAACTGAGTTAAAAATAGTGGAAGAAAAGCCGTAATTATACTTATTGTTACAATCCATTTAATAAAATGCAACATTTTTTTGTTTTAATGAAAAAATCAGTTATTTTCATGAGAACGATTTGTTATTCCATCTCAATTTTTTTAATCTCCAATCGCAATAACGTAAAGTATTATTAGCCGCGAACCAATGAGTCAAATTTAAGAAACAACCCACTGTTAGAAAGCTGCATGGCTACGCTTTAAAATGAATGTAAACTTTAAAGTTTTCGTCTATTATTTGTTTAGCAATTTACATTTTAGTCGAGGATTGCGCTTTTTTTGATACACCCTGTATATATATATATATATATATATATATATATATATATATATATATATATATATATATATATATATATATATATATATATATATATATATATATATATATATATATTCGGGTTCGTTTCTTGGGCTTACTACTATTTGTTTCATTGTCGTACCTTAGGTTGGTATTGAAATTGCTTTGCTTCAGTGCATCTTCGTATAAAGGGGCGGCTGAAACCCCCCATTTATATCGATAGCCGTTCTAATCATCCACCATCAATTATCAGACAACTCCCAAAATCAATTAATCAACGTATATCCTCCCTTTCCTCCGACAAGCCGAGTTTTGATTCAGCCGCCCCTTTATACGAAGATGCACTGAAGCAAAGCAATTTCAATACCAACCTAAGGTACGACAATGAAACAAATAGTAGTAAGCCCAAGAAACGAACCCGATCAAGAAACATTATTTGGTACAATCCGCCCTACAGCAAGAACGTGAAGACGAAAGTTGCAGAAAATTTCCTTCGTTTAATAGACAAGCATTTCCCCAAATCATCGATCCTACATAAAATTTTCAACCGAAACTCTGTCAAAGTCAGTTATTCATGCATGAACAATATTAAAGCATCAATTTCAAACCACAACCGGCGTGTTCTTAAGAATCAGAATCCCCCCCAAATTCCATCGAAATCGTGTAACTGCAGAATTAAAAGTAAATGTCCACTGAACGGCAATTGTCTCGTGAGAAGCGTTGTGTATAAAGCCCAGATTACAAGCGACAATGGGAAAGTGGTCAAGAATTATATAGGAATGACGGCGGGTCCTTTCAAGCTAAGATATAGCAATCATTTGAAATCATTGAACAATGAGCGCTATTCGACAGAGACGGAACTTTCGAAATATGCTTGGGGTCTTAAATCGCAGAACAAATCATTCCGAATAAAATGGTCGGTCATGAAGCAAGTTCCAGCCGTTTGCCCAGGAATGAAAGTTTGTTCTCTGTGCACCGAGGAAAAATATAATATTTGCTTGCTAATAGGAATTTTATGCCTTTCCGGCTGAGACATTGGGGTAGATAGGTTGGTTATTATAATTGATAAGCAGGTGGTGGTAAGATAAGAATTGTCATACGAAGGAAATGGCGAGAATGTCCCTAGGGTGCGGAATGATCAAGCAGATGGCTGAAAAAGGGGTCATTTATAGTACATACTTTCATGCGGTTCACATCAGTCGCATTCAGTCTACAGCCAAGTGAACACCACTTTGTGAAGATATCAAAATTTATTAATCAAGGAGTTTTTCTTTAGTATCATTTTAATTTAAACAGGTAAGAATTTTTGCTTTATTCTGTTCTCTTCTACTGGTCTCAACGTTCGTTGGAGATTGTTATATTTGTTCTCCATGTTTTTGGGGATTTTAATATTTGAACTATATGTTCTCCATGTTGTTGGGGATTATTCTACTGTTCTCCATGTTCTTGGAGATTTTAATATTTGCACTGTTCTCCAAGTTGTTGGGGATTGTTCTACTGTTCTCCATGTTTTGGAGATTTTAATGTTTGAACTGTTCTCCATTTTGTTGGAGATTGTTTACTGTTCTCCATGTTTGTGGAGATTTTAATGTTTGAACTGTTCTCCATTTTGTTGGAGATTGTTCTACTGTTCTCCATGTTTTTGGAGATTTTAATGTTTGAACTGTTCTCCATGTTGTTGGGGATTGTTCTACTGTTCTCCATGTTTTTGGAGATTTTAATATTTGAACTGTTCTCCATGTTGTTGGGGATTGTTCTACTGTTCTCCATGTTTTTGGAGATTTTAATATTTGAACTGTTCTCCATGTTGTTGGAGATTGTTCTACTGTTCTCCATGTTTTTGGAGCTTTTAATATTTGAACTGTTCTCCATGTTGTTGGGGATTAGTCTACTGTTCTCCATGTTTTTGGATATTTTAATGTTTGAACTGTTCTCCATGTTGTTGGGGATTGTTCTACTGTTCTCCATGTTTTTGGAGTTTTTAATATTTGAACTGTTCTCCATGTTGTTGGAGATTATTCTACTGTTCTCCATGTTTTTGGAGTTTTTAATATTTGAACTGTTCTCCATGTTGTTGGAGATTATTCTACTGTTCTCCATGTTTTTGGAGATTTTAATATTTGAACTGTTCTCCATGTTGTTAGAGATTGTTCTACTGTTCTCCATGTTTTTGGAGATGTCTGGTTATAAGTAATTTTGGCCATCCAGGGCTCGTAACTTGCGGCGACTCTAAAAATGTCAGCCATACTTGCCCTGCGAAAAATTTATTCGATTATCATCGTTTTTCATGCGGCTCAACGATGATGTATATTAATCGCAGTTGTCATTTATCATTGATCAATTATTCTCATTACATTCAAAACTGTTTTTCGCATCCGTTGCAGAATGCCACCAAAAGGGAAAAAGCAACGCAAAAGACCTGCTACCGCGTCAGCTGATGGCCCGTCATCGCAGCGTAGTCGCCGTAGTTCGACCATCAACGCTACAATGGCGACGCGCAGTGCCAATCAACCATCTTCAGTTAATACAGCACCGACGGCTTCTGTTCCTCCTGTTAGCGATGCTGTTTCTACGGAGATTGTTTTGCCGCCCGAGCTTCTCCAGACGCTGGTGTCCACAGTGACTGCCGAAGTAGCGAAGCAGCTTTCGACGCAATTTTCAACGATGCTTCCCACTCCAGTGCCAGTGGCATCAACTGATCATCAACCAGTTCCCAATTACATGCAAGAGCCAAGTTCACGCCATAATGTTCCACCGTCACAAAGTCAACAATCCGAGGCTAACACTCTGGTAACTGGGGCAATAGCTGCGGCTCATGCCAGCATTTCAGGTGAGCCTCAGTTATTGCCTACATTAAATAGTAATAGCGGGAGCAATTCTGTGGAACCTACCCAACTTTTTCACACGGCCAGTTTACCTATCGATCCCAGGGTATCAGCAAAACTTAAGGGAAGAATTTGGAATGGGGAGTTCATCGATTTTGGCTGCTTGTTGAGCAATTCTAATAGCGAAAAATGTCAGATTTCATTCATGAGTTCCGAAGCGGTCTCCCAGCTTCGTTTTGTCTCGAACCAGCTTCCAATCCAAAGAAAATTCTAAGTATTGAGGTCTGGCTTCAGGCCTTTCAGATTTTTGTAGGTATATATACCCACAAATTCCCGCATGAGGCCCCGCCCTCATGAAATACGGGCAGACAATACGCGATTTGGCGTTACGCGGTCAGAATTGTCGTTTCTACGACGAAAATTTTCGATTTCTCCGTCAAACTCATGGGGCTCAATCCACAGCGAACTGTTGTTGCGTTCACGGTATTCCACTATTTCCACCAGCAAGCGAGCCCCTGGACCCCAAATAGGCCACGATAATGGTAGTTTAAAGCCGCAAGTCCGACCACCTAATGCTGTACCATGGGGTTATTACACTGACCTGAAAGGTCAAGTGTCTTAAATCCCTAGTTTTCTGTTTTCTTCTGTTTTCTTCTGTTTTTTTCGTCGTCGAGAAATCGAGTTTGCGTTCGCGCATCGCAGGCTCAGGGTGCAACGATTAATCCAAAATGCCGTCCATTCTTCGACTCCACGATTCATATATAATAGTAAGAAGCTGGTATTTATGTACGTAATAGTCGGCTCATATCATGCTTGTGGTGCATTTTTCGTTTATTAGCCCATATATAGACATATATGGACTTATACGCACGCGCACAATTCTGAACTCCAATAGTGACATATTCAGTCCAGTTTCAAAATGGCGCCTTTTGGCTGAGTGATCAGAATATATTTCACACAGTTTCGTTGAATTTTCAAAGAGTTGTGCCGGTTTCCTATGGATTTTACGTTGTGTTGCACTCTGAACTTTCTTGCGTGTTGAATTAATATGTTTTTCTTCGTGTAACGACTCGAAAACCCCAAAATTTGGACCCAGCGAATTTTACAAAGGACAAGTTAAAGGTTCGACAGTTTGACTTTTTAACTAATAAACAATTGTCTATAAATATACGTTGTAGAGTCATAAACATCCGTGGTGTAGTTGTGTTTATTTTTTGTCGCACTCTGGACTTTTCTGCATGTTGAATTAATGTTTTTATTTTTGTATTATACGACTCTAAAATTTGGTTTTGAAAATTTGGCCGACCCGGCGGATTTATACAATCAATATGTTGTATTAAACTACTCGAAAACCCCAAAATTTGGACCCGACGCGAATTTGTACAATATAGTGGAATATAAGCAAGTACAAGTTAAAGATTCTACAGTTTATTTTGATTTATTGTATGGTTCTCATTTGTCTAATACAATAACATTTAGTTCACAAGGGCAACTGTTAAAGGTTTGACCATATTAAAATACATGTATTGAAATTCGCGCAATAGAATTCACGCAAGTAAAGATAAAGAATTCACGCAAGTAAAGATAAAGTGAGCGTTCAAAATACCAAAAAGAACTAAGACATTTATTGTATGGTTCTCATTTGCCTAATAGAATAACATTTAGTTCACACTATAATATAAACACAATATAAACAAGGAAAAGGTAAAGGTTTGACAGTTTCACTACACAATGTCGACAATATACCTTAATACATGTATTAAAATTCGCGCAGTAGCTACTAGTTGGTGCGCCAAACGCTTTATGGTAGCTATACTAAAGATAAAGCGTACCTTCAAAATACCTACAAGAACTAAGACATTTATTGTATGGTTCTTCCTTCGTGGAAATCAATGTTTTTAATTGACGTAGTTAGCGTGTCAAAATAAAATCTATCTATCTATCTCATTTGCCTAATACAATAACATTTAGCTCGACGCGAATTTTAACTAGTATCATATTTCCAAATATAATGAACAATGTAAACTAGCCAATTCTTTTCACCTACAAAATGTCGACAATATACCTTAATACACGTATTAAAATTCGCGCAGGAGCTACTAGAGTTCGAGCAAGTAGTAAAGATAAAGCTTGCATTCAAAATACCGAGACATTTATTGCATGGTTCTCATTTGCCTAATACAATAACATTTAGTTCACAATATAATATAAACAAGGAATAGTCGTTCGATTTGGCTATACTGTTTGCTCGTTTTGAATGTGTATTGATCGATTTCAATAATCGATTTACATATCAGTCTGCTCGATTCGAGTAAGGGTTGCCCGATTTGTATCATTGGTGATTTGGTGTTCGACTTATAACTATTGGACCTATTGAATTTTGACAGTAAAAACGCGCCATGTACAATACATGTATTAAAATTCGCGCAATAGCTACTAGAATTGGCGCAAGTAAAGATAAAGCGGTGCGTTCAGTGAAATACCAACAAGAACTAAGACATTTATTGTATGGTTCTCATTTTCCTAATACAATAACATTTAGTTCACAATATAATATAAACAAGGAAAAGTTAAAGGTTTGGCGTTTGACTACACAATGTCGGCACTATACCTTAATACATGTATTAAAATTCGCGCAGTACGTAGCGCTGGGTGCGCAAAAAGCTTCGTGGTATCTATATAGAAGATAAAGCGTGCGTTCAAAAGACCACTGGCAATGATCGAACAAGAACTAAGACCGCATTTGTTACGAAATCTGCTACAAAATGTCGACAATATAGCATACAGTGATGGATTTTTCTCATGTATATAATGTAGCATAACACATGTATTAAAATTCAAGCAGTAGCTACTAGAATTCGCGCAGCGCTGGGTGCGCAAAATTGCAAAAAGCTTTGTGGTAGCTATAGTAAATATAAAATTTATGCTACAAGGGTCAAGGTTATAGATGGGAAATAAACTAGCTATTTTAAACTGTAATGTATGAAAAATCTCCATTCTTCAAAAAACATGTCATATCGTTCAAGGCAACTGAAAGGCGAGGAAGACAATGATATATTGTATCGACTGCTTCACTACTCAGAAATTATCCACGATCATGATCTGATTAAGTTGAATATGGTCACGTGATTTTCGGTCTGAACTACTATCTATAGATATCATTACTTAATATCTGATATTAAACCTGAATGTGAGGCAGATCATTAATGAGGTATGGACTAATAGCGGCTGCTCAAGCGCCATTTGTAAGCTCAAAGTCTACCCCGAGCCTGCGATCCGCGGGAAGGAAACGAAGGCTCTGGGATAATCCGTTGCCGAAAGCTAGGAATTCTGGCTAAGATTGAACTGCACATTCCATATCAACGGCCAATCAGATTCCTCCCTGAAACGGATTATCCCAGAACCTTCGTTTCCTTCCTAAGGACCGCAGGCTCAGGGAACGAGATTGCACCATAGCGCGTATGTCATCATTTTCAGGTCAGTGTGAACGCCTGAGTAGGCGTCTTGTT